GAAAGTTAATTAACAAACGGAGACGTAACAATATGTACCTAAGAATACAAAATGCCAATTGAAAAATTTACCAACAGCAAAAGCTAAAATCAGTGACTATAAAATTAAGACAGAAAGATATTTTCATTAACTTTTTCATGCAAATATTCGGTTTAAAATTACATAATACGAATTATTAAAATAAAGTGAAAGTCGATATGATAATATCATTAATTATAATAGTCAAACTTAATTTACCATTAAGCAATTTAAGAAACAAAAACTATTGATTTTTCTATCTTCTTTCTCGTTGTTACTTTTGAAATGTAATGTGCGCATCATGTTTTCCATCACCCAGTTTACAAATACGGAAATAGGGTATTCACTACTTGAATTAGGCGGTTTTATTTTTCATTTTTAATTATTTAAAATTTAAGTATCTAATTTTGAAATAAGATAAAAATAAATATTTGTGGGATTGTAGTCATGAAGTGATTCAAAATTGTTTTGTACGTTCTATGGCATGCTACTAAAGGGCTAATATTTTCACTTTCAGGACAGAAATCAGGCCATCGTAAGACTATTTGTATTACTATTAATATTAAATAAGGGTAAGACTTAGAAAGAGTATAGTTGTCCTAATGTATAGTAAATACTAATACTATTTAAAATAACCCCAATATCAGGCTAGTCTTTGTTATTATTACATTTCAACATTGTAAAATTAAAAAGAGTACGTAGTTCGTTATTATTATTAAGAGAAATGGTAATGTCAAATTGTAAAACTAAAAAAGTAGGTCTATTTATGACTATTTAGAAATATGGTACAACACTACAGTAAAATTACAACTTATAACGGTCTTAAACTCAAACTTCAAGAGTCAAAGTGTAAAAAAGAAGAAAAGAGAGTAGGCCTACTTAGCACGATATTTGGCTAACGTTCATAACAATGTGCTACTGCTAAAGTATCTTGGGGCTCCGTATTAAGATCTTTCCTCATTTTAATTTACATCATTATCAGTGACATAGATGAAGGAATGGTCAATAAATAACTTACGTTTGCTGATAAAACTTTTGGGAAAATAATCTAACTTATATAAAAGCCAGTGTGTGTCAGGTCACACTTAATTTCTCTAAATTGGAGTCATAAAAGCCAAAATGCATTTATTCAGATAGAATAGTTCGATTACTGTCTGCCCATTATGATTTTGGTGATGGAGGTGCAAGGGGACGTTGTTTCATCTGTATTGATCTTTGTGTACCTTTAATTATCCTGGTATATGAAGGCAGCAGTAATACGTACATAAACAATAGCTAGGTTCCCACCCATATGGAGTGCAAGGGCTCTAGACAAGTCTTTGTCTCATCTTTCTAAAACTAGTTGAGGGAGGATTGTTTTACTACAGACTAAAACTAAAAGCTCTTAACAGGTTACTATTTAAATTTATTGCATTAATTAAACAGTCCCCAGGTCAGTAAGTAATCATAGATGGAATGTATAATACCTTTGGTTTATTGTGTTACTAACATATTTGTATAGGAAAGATTTGAAAGATGTCAAAACAAAAATAGTTTGACTACTTTGATAAAAGTGGCAGTTGAAAAATGAAACAAATCAAAACTTTGCCTATAGCTTATTACATTATGATCAGTAGTACAGCTGGGGTTGTTGATAAGTGGTATCTCCAAAAGACAGAATATCATCAGTGACAGTTAAGGAAAACCCATATAAAGCAAAATATGGATGGGAAAGTATAATAGGAGTAATATTTGGTTTTGTTTTGAAACCATGGCTTTCAGACTACAGTATGCTCTTGCGATCAAGATATTAACTAATTGTGTAGTGCTAGTATGGTTGTTGTGATAGTGTTTTTCATTGTGTCTTAATCCAAACACCATGTAGTTTTTATTTGAAGTAAAAAGCATCATTATGCAAGAACAAAATGAAAAATTTGACACTTGGTTTATGTAATACTATTATACAATATTACTGTTGGTGAAGAACATGTTTATGTACAGTAATGTTCATGTCTGTGCTAGTAACTTTAACCTCTACAAGGATATTTGTACATCATGATAGTGTACGAATGATGCATTTATAAATGTTGTGGACATTTTATCACATACCTGATTCTGTATGAAGTGTCTTGTATGTATAATTGGAATTTATAACTTAGTTATTTGTGAGTATAAGTACTCTGGTGATCTTGTGAAAAAACAAAAGTTGCATAAACCTGAAAATATTTTTGGTATTGTGATCTATCTATAAATATATGGTCACATTATTTTAAAAGATTTCAATACTTTTGATAGAGAAGAACTTTATGTTCACAGATTCAAAGCATGTTTGTAAATAATACATTGTGCTTTGAATTATTGTATGATTTCTTTAACATGTGTTTTAGATATTGGAAATATGAATTTATTGCAGGATATAATTAGCATACTAAAGTTTTGTATGTTTTTGTGCATGTATGCACCTCATAGAATGTTGCCTTAATAAATAATATCTGGCATTTGCAAGTGTTTTAGATATTGGAAATATGAATTTATTGTAGGGTATAATTAGCATACTAAAGTTTCATGAGTTTTTGTGCATGTATGCACCTCATAATATTGCCTTAATAAATATTTGGCATTTGAGGACTCTTGGTGACTCAGTGGTAAATCTGAAGGCTTCTGAAGCTAAAAGTAGGATTTTGATACCCACAGAGAGCAGAGCACAGATATCCCATTGTGTATCTTTGTGTTTAACAAGAAACAAATATGAGAAGAATACTTGGCGAATATTCCATTTTACACCAGTGAACATGTTCCTTTTGTGTATTAAAAGTCAAAACATATTAATCACAAGTTGTTAAAATGCACAGTGTTACTTATACTGTAATAATGCTTTTGTGATTTAATTTAAAATCAAAAAGTGCAATCAGAATGAACTATGATAAACAAATGGATAAACTGTCTGATGTGTATGTTCTGAAAAGTATCAATAATTGAATAACAGCATGACCCACCATATGGAAAATTTGTAAGACGACATTTAAGCAAACTGTGACTTAACATACAACCTGTTTTGTCTTTATTAAATAATAAGTGAATATTGTTTCATAATTTCACATTTTATTATAAGTAATGATACTTTACAAGCATATATTAAATTGTTAGGGAAAAGTCTGAGAAAAAACAGGGAATTTCATTCTGTTAAAGATATTATAAACATGATTTTCATATCTGGTAAGAACACTTTTCATTATTTTAGTGCATATTTACTTCTAAATGAGACTTAGGTAGACATCAGAATCACAAGACTTGGAATATCAGTGAGAGTTGACATATCTAAAGGGACCATTTGGACTATTTCATAATCTTTTATCATCGTACTCTAATTCCTAAACTACAAAAATACCCCTTTTATTATATTCAACCCTGATCTCTTAAAATACTAATCCAATTTCTTCTTAAGGCAATTATTCTATAAGCCAACTACTCTATTAGAAAGTAACTGTCATATCCAAGCTTTCCTTTTCTTAAACATGTCCTGTACTATTGTCTTACTGCTTACAAATGTTATATGGATATATGAATTGCAAATCTCTAACAAACTCAAAACTTTCAATCATGTCACCTCTAAACTGTTCTGCTCTCCAGCGAAAACATGTGAAAATTTAATCTTATTCCAGTAAAATAACCCTCTAAACCTGGAATCATCCTTTTAGATTATCACTGAACCTTCAAGAACATTACATTATTTTGTAAATATGGTAGCCAAAGCTGAACGCATAATTTCTAATGATGTGTAACTGTAGACCTTTTACTCAATATTCCCATTTATGTATACAATTGACAATCCTGTCTTTAACTTAGATAATGTGTATTCGTTAGAAGGCTTTAGACTGTAGCAGCTATGCACAAATCTTCAACTTCATCTAGTTTTAAGTATAAGGTTTTCAGAGTAATTAATGTTGTAATAGCCAATATGCACAATGTTTCTTTTATTAAGATTAAAACCCATCTAAATATTATGCCACATTTTCATATAGTCCAAATCTCTTCAAAAATTTAATATCATTGCTGATTGGAAGGATTGGTTCTGAATGAGAAAAACTAGATATTTTGAGTTTTTTGAGGTGGAAGCAAATGGTTGAAAAACAGAAATCATAAAGGTGGGCAATTGTCTTAATCAACTGCTCATTGCACCTCTAACTAACAGGGGAGTGTATTTGTCTTTATTGACAGTAAAAGCTAATATTTTGTGATTTTTAGACAAATGTCAAAAGTGACACAGTATAAGTGCTGAGATTTGAAACAAATTCAATGAAAGCATGTGTGTTCAGCCAGAAGGTGATGAATTTTAAATAATTCAACCAGCATTATGTGGGTCTTTTTTATCATAATGCATTTAAAGTTGTCATTTCTTTTACTTTTTTTAAGGTTGAAAAGTTGATAATTATGTACTCAATAAAGATACAATTAGGAGAATTTTTTAATAGGGTCAGTTTTTAAAAAATATTTCGACAATCGATTTGAGGATTGCTCTCTTTACAAACAAAAACTTTCAAATGCTGTCACTTTATTTGACCTTTGGTTGGATACTTCATTTGGTTAAGAAAATGGTGTAGTTCAAAATGTGTAGAGTGACAAAAAAAAACTTCAAACTTAAGGCTGAAGTGAATGATGAATTTAGGCAATGAATCTTAACAATTTTTTTGTCTTTCACAACAGTCACATAACATTATGTATCGATCATGTACTAGCCATAGATTGTTTTTTGGCATGGGACATTTATTTATAACTTCAACTATTTCAAATTTAATGAAGCTTCAAAATACATTCTCTGTAGTTGTTACAGTTTTACTGTTAAACTGTCCACAATACTTTGCAATGACATCATTAACTTTACTGTACATAACTGGCAATCAGAATCGAACCAAATGTGTGCTATCATAATCGGCAATTGGTGATTTCAGATTGTGACATGATCGGTAAAACAGTACTTAACATTGGGTTATATATTTTATTGTTTTTCAGAATTTGTAGTACATACTTGAGATATTTAATCATTTTGACAATAAAGTTAAAAAAAAATTACCTTAACCTCCAGACAATGATAAAACTTTTTATTTCTGGGAATGTTTTGCCATTGCAGCTTCATCAGGACTAATAGTACAAAAACTGTAGGGTTTGAAAATATATGTTAACTTATAAACTGTTGTTAGTTTTCTGTTGCCTGAGACTTTCATAATGTCTTTTAACAATGTTTAGGATATTTATGTTTCACAATTGTTTTGATATTATAGTATAGTTATGATACTAATTATATTGCTATACTACCTTTTGACAAGTATTATGTACGTGACATACAAACTTTCAACAAGTTTTAAAATATTTTGGTCTGCCCCAACATAAACACATATTGAGGCAGTTGAGAAACAAATTTTGAGTTGAAAGAATACAAAATTTACTTACTGTGTTAAAAAAAAAAAAAATGCTATTATGTACTTTATTAATGTGGCTGCAATTATAGAGGATGGTCCGTAGAATATTGATAGGGAAAACAGTTTTACAGGCCAGGAAATTTGTCATTTTTAGGGCAAGACTATTTGGCTCTGGATTTTTTCTCATTTAAGGGCACTAAGGCCACAATCATGTTAATGCAATAGAAATGAGTTTCCCAATTAGTTTAGTAAATATGGCATTGATTTTTTTCATTGAGGTCCTGGGAAGCTGAACTATCCTTCCAGATTACGTTTACCAGGTAGGTAAGTATTAACTTTAAGCAATGAGACTTATGAAGTAACTGTACATCAGCTTCAAGATTTTAAAAAAATGTATTTTTGAACTGCTCTCTTGTAACAGGAACATCAACAAAATAAAGCTTTTAATTTGAAATACACAATGATTTTCCTTCTGTTTTTCCTATCCAAACTCAGTTCTGTTTCACCCTCAGAGGCATTGTCTTTGTCGTTTCTTGCCCCATATTATTATTATCGTTGCAGAATTTGAGTGATGACCAAGGCAATATGCTGATCAGAAATGAGACTTTTTAGACCCAACTATAGCTTAGAAAGCCTGATAAATTACAGTAGAGTTTTGTGGTACTTTGGTAGTAATATATATATATTGTTATTTCAAAACGCATATATAAAATCTACAAAAAAAAATTCCTTTTACATCCTCCACGTGCAAAATTTGACAAGGCTTAGCAAATACAAGCACGAATAAAAAAATAACTTTGTAATGTCGTAAATAGTAGAGATCATTGTTTTCTATATATTTTTTATTTATGGTTCTATGTTTTAAGAAAAATAACTGAAATGTAAGGATTTATTTGTAAACAGTAATAACATATAGACATGTAATGTGTGGTATCTGAAATATGATTATATTTTACAAAATACTAGTATACTAGTACTAAGACAAAGAAGAGTAAGACATTTGTTTTTGTAAAGGTCAGTTTTATGCTATTCAATACAGTAACATGAGCTGCATGTGCATTGTATAATTTACAACTTGCATGGCAGGATTATTAGTCAGACATGTTCAGAGGTCAATACAACAAAATATTAATAGATGTATATTGTTACAAGATTTAAGGTATTTAGAATAAAGATTTATGGTTTCTGTTACAATTTTCACTCATTCTAGGATTGAAAAAGGGTTTGCTTTATTTTCTAATTTTTATGGCGATTGTGAGGTCAGTCAAATCGACTAACCCTGTATAAAAGATAGGATAGAGAAAATAATAATAATACACATTTTTTCTTAAAAATGTGTTTGATAGATATTTAGCAGGTTATAGAGATTAAGCAAATACAATTTTCAGATGAAGACAAGTATTTTTCATCTTAAAATCAAAATTACTTTGCATGTTGGATATTCAGCATTCTAAAATATAAACTTCATGAGCAAATCTTTAATTTAAAAATCTTAATACTTAATTCAAAAACCTGATTTTGTGTACAAAAGCCTTATAATGATTACTGCTAATCTGCAACATTTCTTGAAGATGTGCTTACATTATCAAAAGTTATAGTATGACTACTCTCATGGTTACTTTGGTGGTTACGTACTGGGTGCAGCATACCCAACCCCATAGTCAGAGTTAAGATCTTTAGGTTTTTGAAAAACTGCAACTATACTTGGGTTTTGGTTGTCTGAAATGTGTCTATGTAAAGATTCTTTAGTTTCTCATACATATGTTCCTCTACACATATTGCACATGATTTGATAGACTTTTTTTTTGGTGTGGCATTTTTATTTTACTCCCATTTTCTTGGGCATGTCGTTGCTTACTGTCACATTTTGTTTTTGAGGATGAGGAATGAACTAATTGTTTTTAAGTGTTTCACCTGGTTTTTGTGTTACGTTGATTGTCACTTGGGTGTGTTTAATGGCTTTACAATTTTGGTTGTGTTCTGGAAGAATATTGTAGGGGTGTTTTTGTATGTCTTTTGTTTTTGGGTATTGTTGTGATTTGTGTTTTTTTTTTGTGATGTGAAAAGATTATCAATTTAATATTTATAATATCCATTTTGTAATAGTAGTGTTTTAAGGTCTTTTTATGTTGTTTGAATGGCATTAAATGTGGAGAAATTACGATTTCTCTTTAGTTCTATTATTGTTTTCCCCTTTTGACTTGATTTTGATAGTGTGATTTATAATGTAGAAATAATAGCTTCTTCCATTTCTTGTTATATATACATAGAACTCTTTACTTGTCCATCTTGAACTTTTAGGGTTATGTCTAAGGAAACAGTTTTCTTCTGGGTTAGAAGGTTGTTTAGGAAGTGGTTAAATTGTTGTAATGCATCTTTTCCATGATTCCATGTACCAAATATGTTGTCAATGTATCTGTATCAATCTTCTGGAGCTAACTTGTTTTGTTTGTATTGTATCAGAAGCTTTTGTTTCTAGTGTATGCATGGATATTACTTCAAATATGACTGCTGCTCTGTTACCCATTGCTATTTCTTTCTTTTGTTTGTTCAAAGTGCCTCCAAATTTAAAGTAGCTGTCAAAAAGGACAGTTAAGCATTGTGTTGGTTTCTAGGGTGATGTTAAATGGAAAGAAGTATTTAATTTAAGATAGGAAGTTAATGATGCTATTTATGCCTTCTATAAGTATGGATGGGTACAAGGCAATTACATCTAAGATAGGTAAAATGGAGTGATCACATATTATATGTGTTGGAGAATATATTTTGTCTAAGAGTTCTTTTGTATTGTTTAAGTGTGATGAAGCATACTTTAAACATGATTTCAACAGCTGATCCAGTAACCAGGATATTGATTCTGTTGTAGAGTTGTGTGCTCATACTGTGGTTTATGGACTCCATATATATAGTTCAAGTATATGATTATGGGAGAGTTTCAATTCTGTTAGTATTTGTTCCAGCAAAATACTTCCTACTTTTAGATGTTTGATTATTTTCTTGGCTTCTTCAACGGTCTTGATTAGATCGGATCTTTGTTTATAACTACAAATGTAGATGTATCTTGAAGATGTTCTATTTTACACTTGTTACTGTTTTTTTGGTTAAGACTATGAAACCTTTCCCTTTGTTCAATTCTTTTATGATAAGATTTTTGTTTATTTGGAGTTCTTTTATAGTAGCTTTTTCTGTTGTTGAAATGTTTACTTGATGATTTTTATGTGTAGTCAGGATATTTTTTATGTGGTATTATAGAAAGATGTTTTGTTTTGTGGCTACAGATACTTTTGACAGTTGATACTTCTTGGAGTCAAGTGGGTAATTGCTGAATGATAGGTAATTCTGGTTATCTTTCTGGTGATATGTATTTTCTATGGGGTCTTGGTTAGTAGCAGAAGGAATAACATTATCTAGAGTATTTTGAGAGACTTCACTTGTGCCTTCTGTTTCTTTTTGTGTGGAGTTTTTATAGGTGTTTGTTCTTTCCTTAGTTACATAATGTCCTTTACTGTGGATGATTTATATGAATATTTTTCAAGTTGGTTAAAATCTCTATGTGAGTGTTATCTGTTAGTTTTCTTTGTGAACACAGTAAGTAAATTTTGTATCTTTTCAATTTTTATTTATTTTCTGGCAGAATATAACATTTTGCAACTGTTTTTAAGTGTATATTTCTCACATTAGTAATTATGTCAAATGGTAGTATAGTAATATAGTTAGTATCATAATTATACTATAATATTAGAAAAATTACTAGATAACGGTAATATTCTAAATGTTGTTAAAAGTACATTACGAAAGTCTTGAGCAACAGAACACCAAAAGCAGTTTAATAGGTTAATGTATATTTTTCACATCAGATAGTTCTTATATTACTAGCTCTGATGAAACTGTAGTGGCAAAATGTTGGCACAAATAAAATATTTTTGTATTAATACCTGGAGAGTAAAGGTTGTTTTTTCTAACTTTATTGTTACTATGTTAAGTACGTACTTTGTAGCTGATGCACATTTTAATTCTTTATCGTAGAGGATTTATCTTGTAATAATTTGATACTGGCTGTTTAAATGCATTTTGTAATACAGAGTGGTAGGATATACAGAAAAATTATTAGATACACATAGTATTTATTGATGTAGTGTAGAAAGCTTTATATAATATACAATTAAGAGGTGTTTGTCCTTTATGTACTTTTATCTACATTAGTCAACATTAGTATTTTTAATTAGATTTCAGATCTCAAAAATGGAAAAATTTATGGAATTCCAAGGTTAAAGTTATTAGTGTTTACTAATTGCTTGCAATGGCTTCAAAACCAAGAATCATTGATGAAGTAATTATATCTTCTGACTCTGACTCGGAATCATCTTTCTGTCAAGTAAGTGCAAGAGTTTCGTAGTTTAAGATATTTTTTACTTTTCTTGAAATATAAGCCTCAAGAATGCAAGTTCACATAAAGCCTTAAATTTACTGCATCCAGTACATATTAATACAAGCCATTTCAAAGGCTAATCAGGCTGTTAGAAAAGTAAAACTAAGCTGAAAATGGCTCATGCCATGCCAAAATTTGTATGTGTGTTCCCTTCTCCTACCATTAAAAAAACTGTCTGTACTATCATTTCCTTTAATGTTGAACACTTCAGTTATATCCCCACTAACATCTTTTTCAAGAGAATACAATTTCAGATATCTTAACCTTACCATCCAAGGAATCATCCTAGTAGCCTTCCTTTCAACCCTTTCAAACAATTCAATTTTATTATTAAGGTAAGGAGCCCAAGACTGAACACAATACTCCAAATAAGGCCTAACTAGTGACCAATACAGTAAAATCATAACCTCTTTAGACTGACATTCAGTATTTTTGTAAATACAACCCAAAATCCTATTTACCATCTCACTAGCAGCAGCACACAAATATCATTTTTTTTCACAACACTATTAAGGTTACTCCCATCAAAATTATAATTTAAAGTATGATAATCCACATGCATATATCTTGAATTTAATAATTAAAAGCCATCTGCAAACCTTTAATAGAACTTGAACTGATAGCATGCACCTAGACATCAACTCTAATACAGAATATATTTATGAAAGAACAGGTCTGGATTTAAGTTTTTAAAGCTGGAATTATTATTACCATGTTTAAAAACCACTAAAAATTTTAGTAACTTGAATCAAATAATCTTCATCTTCTGTTCTTCAGGGAATGAATTGCAAGTTTTTAAGTCTTTCAAAAGTTTTTTAACTTGGATGTTTTTACTGGTGTGGTATTCAGTTAGATATCTGGCAAAAATCTAAAGTGTCAGCAAAACATAGGTTCAGGATCGTTAAAAAAAAGAATGAACTGAACACTACAGCAGAATAAAACAAGTAAATAGACAAACAAAATCTCTTTCACTCTGATGTTTTTATATGTTACTAAATTACTAGCTGGTTTCTATCCATATGACCGTTGTGTGGTTTTGAGAGTTGAGGGAACACCAGAAAAACGAGAGAGAGACCAAAGACATAACTATTAAAATACTTTATACTTAGGACAATCCTTAGTAAGGTAGCCCCAATTTTACAGGTTATGTACTTCAACCAGTAGCTTACATACAATTCTAAGTCATCCCAAGCCAATTGTACAAGTTTCTGTATTACTGAAAATCCATAAAGAAACACTCACATGCTATCTTGAAACTTAAGAACCAGGAACTGCAGTAAGTAACCTTTCTCTTTAGCACATGTTTACGACCTTGCAACATCCAGTCAACATGGATGTTATAAAGTACATGCAAATGCTTCATGGAAATTTATTGAAATATCAGAACGTACCTGAATAAAGATATATTTATTGTACTGTGGTATTTTCAGATATTACTGCATTTTCCTAAAAGTGACAGTGTTTGTTCTGCAGAATAATGGGAGATTCATTAAGATGTTTACTCTGAAGTAGTTCTGTATTCTCTGACTAACTGAATTTGTGAGAAATAGAGACTAAACACAAATGTATGATCACAATAAATGAGCTTTATTTAAAACGAACACAATTATTATACTTGCCACAGTGGACAGTCCCCTTTACTGGAGAGTTATATGTAAATATACTCTGTATCAGCTCGTAAACGAGTCTAACTCTTCCGATTTCCTGTTCCAGACTGTATATATATTGAGATTGTGTTTCAGATTGAATAACTCTCACATTAGCTATATAAATAATTAATGTCAGGCTTAACCACAGTGACTATTGCTATACTTGGACTGGTCATTCTCAATGAAATGTGAGAGATCATTACCTCAAGAAGTCACCTGACTGCCAGTAGAAACCAAACTGTAAAATATCCTAATTGAAGCTTCATCAGTTCTTTTTCAAGGTTGCAATAAGCTTCTTACTCTTAAGATCACAATCTCTAAATAAAACTAAAAGCTTTTTAGTAGTCAAAATAAACATAATTTTTCTTTCTAAACATTTGGGGTCCCTATACAAGAAGTCCTTTCTATATTTTCATATCTAACAAATTGTTCAAACTTTGGCTGTTTCTTTAACACTAGCCACATCCCTCTGAATAAGAAAAAAAAACTTAAAAGTGTAGGAAAAAAAAGAAGTTAGGCTATCAAAGTTTTTGATAAAAATAATAAACAACAAAAGTCTCAAAACAAATCCCATTGGAGACCTCACAGTTTGCATTCTTCTAAACAGAAATGAGCCTATTTATCACCACTATTTTTATCAAATCATTTATTGTTGGGCTTGTGATTAGCATGCTTCACTATGAATCCAAGGGTTCACTGCCCTCAAATTGTACTGCATAATAAAGAATGGTGATCAAACCCCACTATTTCATTAGAGTACCCAAAAAGTTGGTGGTGGGTGCTGTTTACCATCTGCCTTTCCTCTAGTTTATCTGTTCAAATTTAGGGACAACTAGCACAGATAGACTTACATCGGTTTGCAATAAAACCACAAAAAAAATTAAATTATGAGTGCACCAAATTTTTGGTTTCATCATACTTTTATGAATTTAACTTTCTCTGTGCCTTTGAAGTGCTAAAACATTTGTTCCCACTAGCGAATATTATTTAGTAACTTTAACAATTACCCTCCCCCCCCCCCAAAAAAAAAGCAACACAGATAGTTCATAATGCTCATTCTTCTTGAGGGTATAATTTGTCGGGCTGATGTGAATTTTGTTTATTTTTTCATGTTGTATAATACAATATCAATTTTTAGCTTTATATTTATGACAATAATTACATTTGCTAATAATGAAATAAAAGAGATATAAATATAAAGAGGTCACTTTATGTTCACTAATCTCTCTGTTTAAATTTTTTTATCAAAAAGTTATACTTATCTATTTCAAAACTTTTTAATGTAACTGTTTTGGGATAATGGCACCAAATTAAGAATTTTTTAGTTCTAATAATCTATTAACACTTGTTTCTTCATTTGAAACCAAACAATATATTCTACTTTCAAGATTTGCTGTAACATTTAACTGCATATGTTTGGTATGTTTACTAAAAAAATCTACATATTGATGTAAATTTGTGGGTTTATATAAAATGTCAGTTACAATTCCTTTTCTGGTGAAACACCAACACATCTAAAAAGGACAAAGCTTTATTATTTCTTTCAAAGATAAACTTAATTTCCTTGTTTATTGAATTTAAAATCTGAACAAACTTTTAATATCTTGAGTATCTTTCCATATTACAACACAATCATGTAAAAATATTTTCCAAAAAGTTTATATTTGAACTACAAAATTATCTTCAACATAAGTAGGTAGTATATTAAATAATTGTACTTTGAAAATTGCCATAGTGATATTAGCATAAGTTGGAGCAACATTTGTGCCCATTGCTGTACTAGAAATTGGATGTGATATTTTTCAGGAACGTCTAAGCATATTTCCCAGATCTATGGTTTATTCATAAGTCTTCTAAACTTTTCATTTTATTCGATTGTCATTCTCTGCAGGAGATATTTCCACAAAACTATTAATTATAGTTATATATAATAGTATTACAATACACCTAAAATACATATGCCAATTGTTACCTATCATAGTATTACAACACAGACATAATTCATTTTCAGTCACATTTACTCGAATTAAGTCTCCACTGTATATCCGCATCACGTTTTTCGACCCAACTTTTATATATCGTATTCCATATACTTTTTGGTAACTGAAGATTATAGTCATTCAAAAATTTATTTTATTTTATGTTTACTAAATTGTTATACAAGGTTTTAATGTCCTCTTCTGCTACTGGTGATTCTCAATTAGTTGTATTTTCTGGTTCATTATTAATTAACTTTTCACTATTGCTAGTTAATCCTATAGGATTAACAATATGCTTAAACTGTATTGTAATTTCAGTCACTAAATGTTTCAAATACTCTTTATTTTCATCATTCTGTACTTGTGACGGCAAGATTGACCTTATGTTTTTCAATCTATTTTGTCGTTATTTACAATGTCTGATACTGCTATCATATTATTTATCAGCCACAAAAAATAACAAAATGGATTTCCTGTATTATCTAATAAATAAGAATTTAAGAAATGCTTGAACAGTTTGATATTTCCTTCTTATTTATGTTAATGCTACACCACCTTTATAAAGTAGAGCTATAAAACATTCCTATAATTCCTCATGGTTCTATTGTAATTTGTATGGGTGAACTGGTTCGTTTATGTAATACACATTCAAAGTAACGAATCCTAAAAATAGTTAATCATTCAATGATATAAGATTTAATTCACCTTCTTCAAAAGATGTAGTATTTCTATTAACCCAATGAACTTTCCTCCAAACAATTTATATAAATATGATTTGAAAATTAGGTATCAAATTTTTAGGCAGTTCTAATATCTGAAACCTGTGCCATATAATACAATTAATAATTTGATTAAGAATTAATATTTTTTCTTTTAATGATAAATAAGGTTGAAAATGCTTCCAGACTAATAAGTTCACTACATTTCTCTTTCAATTCATCCCAGTTTCTCTAAATCCATACCAAAGAATTTCCTAAATACACTCCAAATACTTTTATTCCTTGATTCGAGCACCACGTATAGCCTAGTTTATTTTCTGTTCGTGTTTTCCAAGCACCAAACCATAAACCAAGGGATTTTTCTTCATTGAACTTTGATTCCGAATATGCTTCAAATTCCTTTATTGTATTTTGAATAACATTAAATTCTGACTCCTGTCTAATATAAATGTTTATATCTTCAGCATAAGATGATAAAATAAGTTTTTGATGATAACTATAACTTGATATTGAGCGTAAGAAACTTTTTTTTTCTTAAATTATAAAAACAGATTCTATTGCTATTGTTAATAAATAACCACTTATTGGATCTCCTTGTCTTACACCTCTCATTAAAAGGAATAGCTGAAGTTGAAACCGACCTATGAACTACATAAAATACGGTATTTTTTATACATTACATCAACTGCTATTATAATATTCCCACCAAAACCAAATTTGCTAAGTATCTTTTTGAAATAATTATGATTTATGAGGTCAAAGGTTTTTTCAAGATCTAAATTTACTATAGCTAAATGTTCATTATTTTGATTTGCAAGATTTATTTTATAATGCATAACATCTATATTATCATAAATACATCAGTTTGAAACAGTGTAAGTCTGACTCATGAATCAGTTGACTCGTAACAGGTTTCATTCTGTTTGTTATAGCTTTCGAAAGTACTTTATAATCATTACATGAAAGTGATAATGGTTGCCAATTTTTTAATTCTTTTAAATCCCCCTTTTTAGGTATTAACTTTATTATTGCTTTCTTCTCGCTTCTAGAACATTCACCTTTCTCTAGAGATTCATTAAAAACTTCTAGTAGAGAAATGCCCATTTTAGGACAAAATTTTACAAACCACTCAACCATTATGCCATCAATTCCAGGGGACTTGTCTTTTACTAATGATTGGCAAGCGGCAGTTATTTCTGTAAGCTTTGATGGAGCATCTAGAGACTCTTTTACACTTTTTGATAACCTCGGTAAGCCTTCAAAGAAAGAATTATTAATTTCATTTACTGTTTCTTCTGAATATATTATCTTATAAAAATCAATAATTATAGAATTTATTTCATTTAAATTCCGAGTTACGCTACCATTTTTATCCTTTAAAGCTGTTCAAACAGCTTTTTGTGTACTGGGTGCTTGTCCTAATCTAAAAGAATAAGATGTAGTGGTATCAATTTCTCTGATTCTTTGGATTCGCTCATATATTTCAGTGTTTGGCTCGATTTATACAAAGCTTCCTTGTATGTAGGATACATATCAGTCTTTGATAATTGGGATAACTTGATTTCTAGTTGTTCTATCTCCCATATCTTTTTTTAAAATCAATTTTTCTCTGAAATAATTGAGTATGTGCTTTGATTACTATTTTTAAATGATCCCACCACACTCTTAACATTTTTAAATGTTTTCCTTTTTTGTTATGTCTGAAAATCTATTATAATTGGGTTATTTTCACTAACATATTTGGTATTTTCAAATAATTTATTATTAAAATACCAATAAGTGCAATCCTTCCTATTCCTACCCAAAACCTCTGTATATTGTACAACTACTGCTGCATGATCAGAAATGAATGTATTTACATGCAACAGTCCAAAACTTCTTGTCAGCATAATAGAATTAACATATAACTTATGCAATCTAGCTTTTAATATAATGCCTTCTCATTGTCCAAGTGTATTCCTTCTTTTTGGGATAAAGATATCAAAAATATTGAATAAACCAGACTGATTTAACAAATCCTTAATCTATCAACTACATGAAGTGTATGATCTAATTCTGTATTTAAAGTTACATTAAAATTTCCAGCTAAACATACCAAATCATTCTTTTGTATTTCATTAAACTGTTTTTCAATATAATCATGTTTTTTCATCACATTGTGGTAAATACATGTTAAATAAATGTAAATTTAACTCTTCTAATTTTATCAATAAATGCAAAATATTACCTTTATACTCGAAGATAAATGTCATTTCTTTCCCAGATAACTTATGTTAACCTATTAGTATGCCAGATCCATACTGTTGTGTAGCATAGGAATGAATTATATTATAATTCAAATTATTCCATAATAAAGATTGTCTTTGTACATGAACATTAGTTTCTTGTAATACAATAATTTCTGCCTTATGACTCATAATATCATTTTTAACCACTTGGTTATTCATATTTCTAGAGCAACCTCTAACATTTTGTATAGCAATAACTGCCATAAAAAGAAGAAAAGGGAAAAATATAAACTTAGAATGTAAATTTAACACCTGTAATACATACATCTTAGATTAAATTTGCAAATTTTTTGCATAAACTTTTAGATAAATAATATAATATTTTCATTCTATTTACACTATTCTGATCTTTTTTACTTGCAATATGTTCTCTCAGTTTCTTTATTTGGTGTACCAAGCCTGTTATATTGTCTGTGTATTTCAGAGCCACTTCTAGTTTTTAGACGATCCTTTAACTTTCTTTTCAAAATTTAGAAATCCTGATTTTGATAATGGCCCTTCAAAAATCTCATTATCACTCTCTATATCGAGATATTTTAAATCATCATTTTCCTTTGAATCGTTACACAGACTTGTCTGACTGTCATCATTATGTTATAAATTCATTTGTGAAAGAAATTTGGTTAACAAACCTTTCTTATTGATTCCATTTTGTTCATCAGTCTCTATCCTTTCGTCCAAATCAGTCATATCAATTACTGCTTTATGATTATCTTGGTCTATATTATTATTATTTTTTTTATAACAGTTTGTTGTTCATTTACATCAATTAAATCTGTTCGATTGTCTTGTTCTAATTGAGCTTCGATTGTTTCCTTCATACCACTATCTTCAGTCATTTTATTTGGTTCTGTATTATGTTTTTCTTTCGTATTAATTCTGTTTTGCTCATCAGTCCCTACCTTTTCCTCTAAATCGGTTGTATCAATTAATACTTTACAGTTTTCTTGGTCTGTGTTATTTCTCACCTTTTTTGTAATGGTTTGATTGTCTTGTTCTAATTGATCTTCTGTCGTTTTCTTCATAACACTGTCTTTTCCAGTCATTGCAGTTAGTTCTGTACTATATTTTTCTAAGATAGTATTAACAGTTAGTTGTTCATTTTCTTCTTTCTGATAATCTTTTACTTCTATACCTGCTGTCTCTAGATCAGTATGACACTGACCAGCTCTATTGGTATCAAATGTTGTCAATTGAGTATCTTCTTGTGTCATGTCTTCATTATTTAAGTTAATAATTACTGGTTCTTCATGTTCCTTGAACTGAGGGCCTTGCAATTGAAACATTGAATCAACAAACTTACAAATAATGTGATGAAATTAGACTCATGAGTATTTGGTCAATTTCAAGTATATTTTCATTACCATTCATGGGCGATGGAACTAATTGAAACAGGTATGGACAATAAGTATCAGCATTTTGAAATTAAACCAGCAACTTTAACTCTAACAAAAGTTATTTCTAATGTACCACCTGAAATAAGTCATGGAGTTATAAGAAAATTGTGTTCAAATTCTGGAAGGGTAGTCAGTCCTTTTTGCACATTACCTGTGTCAACACAATATCCAGTTTAAACGCGTTAAAAGTTTTAGATGACAAGTGTACATTGAAGTGATTGAAGATAACAATATTTAAAAAATTCCAAGCCAATTGAAATATTTTTCAGATGGTTATCATTACTGTTCTGGTGAAATACTTAAATTTTCAATAGCCTCAAATACATCCTCTTGTACAATTTCTTTCGTTGTAAGAATTATGATGCCATGTTCTCTTGTAACAGAATCTTCTCTGTCAACTTGTTTGTAAAGTTCAATTTTGACATGTCTTTGGTTGTTCTACCACTTGAGCATAGCTTAACCCTAAACTGAGAGGGTCAGCCATTTAATTAAGCACATAATGCAACTTCCTTTGCACTAAACTTTCAAAAAATAAATTCAAATTTTACACTATTACATAACTTAAAATAAAACAAAACTTAAGAACCAGTTAGAATGTTAATAAAGTAATATTACAACTTTTAAACACATGCAGAAATGTTGTTAAAAACTCACAACTCAATCGGGTTTCTTTAAGACCAAATATACATAGCATCTACATCTGCCATGACAGCAACTGCTTTATAGGCCTCAATCTTATTTGGTTACAGAGCCATAAACTAGAAAGTCAGACCATTTTTGCCACACCCACCTGTAACATCTTTTCCTTCTGAAATTGCCAATAATTCTCTGACGTTTAATACTATATTACTTATAAGCAATAGAAGGCCAAAGTTTTAATCCATAAAATGATGTATTATATTACACTGATTTCTATACAGAGAATTGTCTATTTCACTTCTGGTTCAAACTTTATTCCCACAAGAAGCACATTGACAAGTTTAGCTGAATTTTTAATGGCTCTGTCACATAGTCAGAAAGCAAGAATAATTGTGATAGTTATAGGACATTGTCTGCTTTTTGCATGCAATTATACTGTTCTTTGGTGCATTATTTAATTAAATAAAAAATTATTTAGTGCAATAGTATTGTTAGTATAAAAAAGCAGGTTTAAGTTTTATCAACAGTTGATAGCAAAAAAAAAGACCCTGGTAAGTACTATATTTCTTGTTCTTCAAGTTTATTTTTTTATTTATTATCATAAAAGTAATTAAAAAGTATATAAAATTTTTTTTCTAGGTTAGATTAGATGAAATAGATAATAAATTTTCATGAGGTATGCTCGCAAGTAGCCCGTGCATTATGTAATATGATAGGGATCCATGAGCTTCATGTTTGCCAAGTGATTTACAACTTTTGTGATGGGAATATTAGTTAGACATAGTTCAAAGGGCAATAAAACAAAATTTTATATAGAAACAGATGTATACCATTACGAGTTTAAAGCTATTTATGGTAGACAAATGTAGTTTATGGTACAATTTGAAGTCGTTCTAGAAAGAAAAAAAGAGGTAGTTTAGATTTATTTAGTATTTTTTTATGGTGGTTATGAAGTCACTTAAATTGAACAACCTCGTATAGAATTAGGGTAGAGAAAATAACAGATAGAATATAAAGTTTTACTGAAGAAAAACATTTGAAATTTATTTAGAAGGTTTCAGAGATTACACAAATGAAATTTGAGATTTTTCAAATGAAGCAAAGTATTTTTAATCTTAACATAAAAGTCACTTTGTACTTGGAACAATCAACACTTTGGCTTCCTGTATTCATGGAGAAATTTTTAGTGAAAATATTTCAATAAAAATTGTGATTTTTTTTTTGTCTACAAAAGACTTGATTACTGAAATTTTGAGAAGATACACAAAACATATTAGAGGTTACGGTATGTAAACTATAAAGGTCAATTTGGAGTCAATTTGGTTAATTAGGCCAAGCCCATAGCAAGAGTGTTAATAGTCGTACACATCGCATGGTGTGAGGTCATAAAAAAAAAGGTGTGAATGAGAGGCTGTATCAATAAAACCAAAGAATGATAAAGATAATCACGTGAGAAACAAATCTCAAGAACTATACTCTCAGGAAATGAAATGTAAACTCATGCTTTGGGATAGACAGAAAAATCCTTTAAAAAATTTAAAAAGTGCATTATGTATAGGCTTTTAGGTATTCATCCTGTATCAATTAATTAACTCCTTGTTCTTCTCTTCCATGTTTTCTGTAAAAACATAGAATGAGAATTTTTACGAAAATTGAAGTATATCTGACAAGAATCACAAAACTTATATTCTGCATTGTAGCCTTTGGTAAATTATACCAGTACAACAACATCTTCTATAATAAACTTTTCTGACATTGGTGAAAACTAAGAAAAATGATTGAAATTTATATATGCAATATCCAATAACTTTGATTCAGTTTTGACTTAATGTACTCCATCATACCATTTTATAAGGATCAAGGTCAACTGTCATAACGGTATTTATGATATTAAGAAATGCACTGTCTACTGGTGTATGAGCTCATACCATTATAACAAAGGAAATATTCCTTGATGTCTACTGATAATTATCCAGAAAATTAGAAGTGTATTAATTCAATTTCATTAAAACATAATTTATTTTTGTAATTATGTTTTTTGAAAAATAAATATTCTGTAAATTTGATGACAAGGAACCCACTTTATAGAAAATAGAATTTTGGAGACAGCTTCATTGGGTAATGAAGAAAACTTTATTATAAATGTACGATGTTTCGGCAAGATCATGTCATCCTCAGGTACAAGTAGTTTACATAAACACATGAATATATATATATATATATATATATACA